GTGACTCCAGAGGGATCAAGATGGAGCCTGCTGTGAGGCTTATTTCGGTAACCAGTCCTCTAGCTGTTGGTAGAAAAGAGCTAGTGTCCTCATCTGTGCCATTTGTTGTGTCCAACAAATCCCTCCTGGGGAGGGGAACAATTGAACAGAATTAACTTCTGTCACAGGAAGGCTGATGGGATTGCAGGAGAAGTTGATCTGGCAATGTAAGTGGTAAGACTTCGGTGGAATTGTCTCGGTACTATTTCAGGTTCTGTGATGTAGATGTGTCTGTGAGCTAGAAGTCAGGACTCCTGGCATTACCTTCCTGACTCTACTTCTGTTCTGCTGTTTGACCTTAGAGGTCCTCTCTCTGTATCTCAGTTTTTCCTCTGTGAAGAAGAGATGATGATGGGCCTCTATTACACAAGGACAGTCCTGTAGTTCCTTCCACTGAAGCTCTTGAGGGCTTTGGGGTTGAGGTGAAAGGTGGTTTTGTGTCTTTGGCCATTTTGTGCTTGCTCCAGGTTGTCAAGCTGCGACAGGTTTTTCTTTGGTATGGACTTACTCTGGTTGGAGACTGTAATTTTAGCTTCGGCCCCTACCCTTTTGTGCTCAAGAGAGCCTTCCACATGTTTTGTGGCACGGGAAGTTGTAGAGGAGTCAGACAAACACTCTTTGTTCCACGAGAAAAGATTTTCTGGTATAAATAAAGGAAACCACCAGCACTTGTGGCTGCACTTTTATTTTTAAAAGAACAGTGTGTCTGTATTGCTGCTAAGCCATTGATGGGGAGGGAGGCAAAATGATCATAGACTTTATCCTTTTCTAGTCCAGCATGTTCCCACCCGACTGCTCCAAATTTGGACTTAATCCTGCCTGTTCTGTCTGTGCCTGCCCTGAAGAGCTAATGTGGGCCCTGACTGGGTTTTAAACTTACTGCCCCCTCCATTCACAATGAAGAACCTCTGACTCAAATCTGGAGGTGTTTTGCAGGGTAGGGGTGTGGGTTAATTGCGGGATTAACTTTTAACGTGGGCTGAAGCCCAAATTGCAGGAAGGGAGCAGGCCAAGTGGTGTTAGTCCTTCAGTGACCTTCCTATGCTTCCCCATGAAAGACAGACCTTCTTCTGTCCCTGACACAACCAATTGAAAGGAAGCACAGACTGAATCAGCCTAACAAAGTGTGGAATATGACTCCCAGGACATAGGAGTAAGCGTAGGTATGGTAGCAGGGGCAGGGCTTTGCTGTGAGGATGACTGTACCTCAGTCATGCGCTCCAGTTTAGGTGCTAACTGTGCAAGTGAACTATGGAGCGTTGCACAGTCTCCAGCCAAGTCAAGGCAACATGCCTTTTGTGGCAGGATTTTCTGACTGGCAGCTAGGGCAATATTCCCTGTTTCCTTTTCAGAGGCTGATTCAGACTTTGGAAAACCATCATGTGTTCAAGTAAAGGTAAAAATTCCAGATTCTATGTGGAAAGGATTTGGTCCTGTCAGATCTCCCAGATCTCAAGTGTAGTCATGGGGGTGCTGCTGTGAAAGTAAAGGCTCTGAAAAAAGGATGTTGAATGTGCAATTCTGTGGCCAATCCATAGTCAGGATTCTCTGGTGTAATCCAGCTGCTTGGGTAGTGCAAACATGTAGAAATGCATGACAGATGTCAATCAGTTTCACTTCAGTTTTCTACTCTGTTTCGGTTTCTGCCTCCAGACTGCTGCGGTGAGCAGCATTTGATCTGCACAGGTAACTGCCGCCTTCCCCTCCCTCTTTTCTTCTGTCCCTGCCCTTGACGTAGGTCTGTAAGCATTTTTGTCCAGAACTGTGCCTTTACTCCCAGAGTTCCCAGGTCCTTTCAGCTGGCACAGTGTGAATGATCAACAGTGCAGTTCAGCAGCTGTTATTGTGTCTGCAGAATTTCCCACATATTAAAGTGTTCGACTTGTTGGAACGTAGGCAGTGACGAAGGTCACTGCAGAGAGGAACAGGAAGAAGGAGGTAGCCACAGACAAGATAGGAGACATACTGCAGTTAGGGGAGGAGGGAGGAGGAAGGAAAGGGACAATGAACAGAAACATGCTGTCTTCTAGACCAGGAATACCAACAAGCAGTCCATGCCTGCCAGGCTACATTTCCCTTTCACAAGCCGCTTTCTCTTTTAATAGCTGCTCACGCTCTGTGATACTTCAAACTCCTTGGATGGAAGCTCCTCCCCTCTTGTACCACTCTCAGCACTTCAGCACTGTGGCACTGTCAGCCCTGCATGACCTAGAATTAACTTTCAACAATTAACTGCGGGCTGTGAGCTCCAAGCCCTGCAGCTTTTGCATTTTTGTGGCAAAGTAACCTTTATGCCAGTTTGTCACAAGTTCAGGGCACTTTAGAAACGCTTACTGGAGACCATTATTTTCCATGATGCAAGCAGTTTGCTCTTATCACTTGGAGTTATCTACCTTGGTGCTGTAGGACTCTGCATACTGCACAGGTGGATCATTATAGTGCATAACAGCATGGGGCAGGTACTATCTCTTTGTGCGTACTCTTATCCTCTGCTCCATTTGAGACATCCTCCATTGCCAGCGTGCTGCTAGAGCTAGGAGGCCTGGAGGGCTCCAGGTACTCACTGTTTGCAGTACTGTACTAGCACCTGGGGGTTGTGCGTGTGCACTTATCTATCCTATCTCTCATCTCCTTAAATCTCTCCAACCCTTGACCAAGCAGCAAAATGAAGCTTTGGCAAGAGACTGGGAAACATTGAGAAATGCTTGTGAAATCAGTGCAGATCGCAAGCAGTTAGTGTTTCCTCCATTCGTAGGGGAAGGCACAGGATAATGGCAGATCCACCCTGTTCCCCCTCCCACACTGTCTCATTGTGGTTCAGTAGCCAAATATATAGTCTAGTTAATCCTGGGGGTGCTATGGGCTTGCTTTGGATCTTTCAGTGGGTGGCTTGGTTCCTTGGTCTGGGAAAGTGGTCAGTGTGGAGACACAGAGGCTGTGACTTGTAGTGGGTGCTGTTGTGGTTCTGAGGTGGCCTGCTGAGGTGGTTGTTCTGCATGGGCAAAAGAGGTAGCTGATAGGAAGGGCGAAGATACATGGCTCCATGTTCTGAACCCTGTGCTTGTTCTTGAATGTGTCTCTGTGCTGAGGTCTGTAGAAAGGATGCTTCTGGCTTATCCCCTTGCCTTCTAAAACCCACTGGGGCATGTGCTGGCTGTTTTGAAAGGGGGTAAAGGGCAAACTGGTGAAGGGCCTTAATCCAGAGCACATATCATCTGTTGCAGCTTGAGGTGCTTTTTGGAGGAGAGAATATTCTTAGTCGCAGTGTACCAGGAGTATGGGAGTAGCAGAGAAGGGGTTTGGGGACGAGGCACCTGTGGGACACATCGTGATACTAGGGAGGCAAATAGTGAGGTTCTCTAGTCTCTCTTGCCTTTGCCTTGAAGAGATTGTTTGTTTCTCTTCCCCACTTGATGTGTGTCTGTATGTAGGGCACAGACAAAGGACTTAGGCCTGCAAGACTGTTAGTGAAGAGCATAGGGTAATTGTGTTGCAACCGTCTGGCTCATTTTAAGGGGCAAAGCACTAGACATTCTTGAGCTAAGTTTGCATTAACTTATTCCCTCCCTTCCTCCTTTTAGTTATCAGATTCCTGGACGTCTACAAGCGCAGCTACTGCAGGACAATTGAGACCCTGGTGGACATTTTCCAGGAGTACCCTGATGAGGTGGAATACATATTCAAGCCATCTTGTGTGCCTCTGATGAGATGTGCAGGTTGCTGCAGCGATGAGGGACTAGAATGTGTCCCTGTGGATGTGTACAACGTCACGATGGAGGTGAGGGTCCAGCCTGTACTCTGCCATGCTTAGGTGGAAGGAAGCAAGTCAGCCATCACAGCCACCCCAAGTTCGAGCTCCCAGCTAATTCAGAGGAAGGGAAGCCTATCCCAGGGAACTGGGGATTATCAGATCAGGATGGCTAACCTTCCTCTTGACCCTGGTGCCAAATGTTGCACCATGCAGGGTAAAAAGATGAGTTGCCTATGTCTGTTTAAGGCTAAGAGGAGAGTCTGGTTTTTGGCTCTTGCCCAAATACTGTAGCTAGGAGCATGCAAAAGAACATTTCTGCAAAGGAGCATTTTGTGCTTAGAAAATGCAAAGGAGCGTTTCCGGCGGTGTTATCTCTGAGTTTCCAAAGAATATACTCCTTGGGCCATCGCTCCACTGTGTGGTACACACAGCTGTTGTCCTGAAGGCAGCTGAGTAGTGCAAAAGAGGAGACCCTGTCAGTACTCTCTCCTGGAGGTCAGCCTGTACCAACAGCAGGGGATTTGGGTCATTAGCTACCCTGGCACAGCAGGGGTGAAAGGGGCTCTAAGAAACACACTGCTTTGGTGTCAAGTGGAAAAGCCTTTCTGCCTCTAGGCATCCTCCTCCTTTGTTTGGAGGCTGCTGAATTGATTCCCTGGAAGAGACAGAGATGGCCATGATAGCAAAGGCAAGGCACATGGGAAAGATGCAAACTGCTTTAGAGAGGTTTGTTTTACTGCTCTTGTCTGTCAGCCTGGATCCCAGCTTGTGTCCAAAATCATGCAGGTCCCCATTACTCATACCCTATAGCTCCTTCACCTACTTTTGTCCCTCAGCTTCTTGAGTGGTCACTGTAAATATTGCCATCACTTTTTGATACGAATGAGAGATGTGCAGTGCTAGGTGATTAATCAGCAGGCTCAAATGACAAGTAAAAATACTTGTCATTTGAGCTGTGTTTGAACTCTGTCAGAGAACCTGTCTGTGCCTTTCCATGGCTCCCCATACTGCTTTTCCACTTGCAGGCTCCAGCCTGGACCAGAGCATACTAGCATGGTGTAGCTAGGAATGGTTTTCTTCCTACCATTCCTTGCTGAATTACAGTTCTTGGCTGCTATGCTTGCATGCCTGTAAAGGGTCAGAGGCATTTATGCAGATATTTGCTAGGGCTAGTGGTCCAGTCCAGTTCTGAGCTGAGAGACTGTAACAATAGTCCATAGCTTCTGACGTAACTTCCTGGAGGTGCCTGGGGCTGAGGGCTGGTCAATGTCTAGCTCTGCAGGGATCTTTTAAGCATAGATCTCCAGATTTATTTTGTGTATCGAGTCACTGAGAAAGTGAGATGTCAGCAGGGAAGGAATGGTGGCTTAGGGAAAGGAGATGAATATGCAATTTTCGCCTTGGGTTTTTGTGTTAGACTGGAGAATGCTTCTACATGAGCAGGCTGGATGTTCCACTACTGTGTCTGTAGCATCAGCCAGGAATGGCTCAGTGAGAACCTTGCTATGGTGTTAAGCCCTTTCCCATGCCTGTCTCCAAGGCAGTCCACCAGTGCTGGCACCTGGCATGCATGAGCAAACAGAGCTTTGGCATGAATCTGGTGTTGCTGCTTGCTTGTGATCAAAGGCCTTTCCTGACTGGGAGAATGGGATCTCAAAGCTAGCTCAAACTCTGCCATACTCTTCCCAAGAGCACCTGGGGTGCAAATCCTTTGCTGCGCAGTGGGCTGATTTGGAGCTGTGAATATGAGGAGCTAATAGGCAGTGACCCTCTCTGTTTCTTTCATTCCAGATCATGAGAATTAAACCCCATCAGAGTCAGCACATAGCACACATGAGCTTCTTACAGCACAGTGAATGTGACTGCAGGTGAGAATGGAGCAGCACTGGTTCCTCTTGCAATAAATTTGTTCTGAGCCTTTCTTTTTTATCTGCTGTTGGGTTGGGACTATTGTCCAGGGGCTTCTGCAGTCTCCTCAGTTGGTTTGCAGTGGGATGGCTGAGCCTGGGAAAGGAACTCTTTTGCTGGTGAAGCTCCTCCATCTCTAGCTGTTACAGGTGGACAATACTAGTCTGCAACTTGGGGTCTTTTGGCACTGGCTGCCAGTGAGGTGCAACGGGAGAGCAAACACACTGAGAAGGACCGCTTACCCTGTGCCGTGGGCATCCTGCAATGCGAGCTGTACATGTCCTTCCCTGGACTTGGTGGGAACTGGGAATAATACTGGAAGTATATGTGGTGAGCTCTCTTCTAATGAGGCCTTTGTTCTCTCTTCCCCCACAGACCAAAGAAAGATGTCAAAAACAAACAAGAAAAGTAAGTGACAAGTCCTTCCTCCTTTCTCTTTTGGTGGGTGATTGGTGTTTCCTCTCCCGACTGCCCCTTGCCCTTTTCTTTGGTTGGAGATACTCACTTGGAGAAGGTGTTTATGGAAATGGCATATGGTAGTGCATGGGGCGACACTCTGAATCCGTTCCAGGTGGGCACAGAAACCCAGATCTGATGGTCCTTCCTTCATATCCCAGACCTGGACCTTGCATGACCCACGGCCATGGCAGTCATTCCTAATGCTTTATCCCGAGTCAGGGAAGTCCCGTCGTGTCTGTCCTACCAGAATGGATTCAAGGTGCAGCCCCCACTCTCCCTTCCCTCTTCCTGGGGTGTTTCTGGTTACTGCAAATTGCTGCCTTTCTTTATGATTAATTTTTTTCTTGCTGCTTGGGTGAGTACTTGCTGGCTTCTTTCACAGCAGCTTGGGTAGGAACTCTGCTGGCTACAGGGAGAGGTGGCAATAGAGGCCTGGTGGAGGCAGGACTGATGCCATGCAGGATGTGACACTGGTTTTGGGTGGGGACCCAGGAAGGTGTGTAAAGGGAGGTGTATGTCCTAACTGGGTCTCAGTGGAGGCTTTCATGAGAGTTTTTATCAGTCTGATGGATTTTCTCTGGTGTTCTGAAGGAGGTTGAGGCACAACCTTCCCTTTACTTCCTCCCCAAAGTAAAAAGCATTGTCAAAAGTAGAAAAAATAAGCTCTGATCCTGCAGTAGTTGCAGGAATGAGCAGAAAATGTGAAACAATGTTGAAAAGAAAGAACTACCTCTCTGGGTGAGAGGGTCAGCTGGACTGCACATGGCTGGGAGAGCAACTCTACCATTTAGAGGTGCTGAGTTGGAGAGGAAGGGGTGAGTATTTGGAGATGAGGCTGAAACAGAGACAGAGAGAGCAAGCAGGAGAGTGAGAGAACTTCTTTCACCTCTCTCCTGGTAGTTATATATTTCTAGCTGCCTTCCAGCCTCTCCTCCTCCCCCTGGAAATCTGCTCCTGGCTCCTCTGAGCTGCGTGCAGCCAGCACCTTTCTGGCAGGCCCATGTCAGGGACGGTCGGTCTGTGTGACTCTGTGGTTTGAAGGTGTGTGAGAGTTTGGTTTGTGTGAACTCTGGTGAGGATGGGGTGTGGGTGTAGCAGCCAGCTCGGACTGTGTTGCATTTACTTTCCTCTTCTAACAGCACCTTGCCTGCTCTTTGCTGGTTCTGCACTCCCCAGGGAAGGAAGGGAAGGGATGGGAGAGACTGGTGTGCTTTGATTTGTGCTGAATTAAAAGTCTTTGTTATATTGGTGCCCCTCTCCTCCCTTCAGGTTGATTTTCCTCCCTTCACCGTCTCCCTGTGACTCCTGCCTGACATGTAGGGCAGAACTGGGAGTGAGCTGATGCTCTGACACTTGTTCCAGTGAGACAACTTGAACAGGGCCTAGGAAACACCTATGGTGCTTTCTCTTCTGTCCCCCCATGTCCCTTTGACAGCTCCCTTCTGAGGTGGGCTGCACCAGGGAATGAGGGAGCCTTTGCTGAACTGCCTCAGTGTTGAGACTCATTTGCCTGACAAGCCCTGGTGCTTCGCCTAGGGCCTTCTCCTTGCATGTCTCTCCCTTGGTCCTGTGCTAACATGGCTCAAGGAGCAGTGCAGGCTCCAGCCTCCCTCGCTCCCTGTGCTTTTGCTGGCCCATAGGGATCCATGGTTAGTATCCAGGACTGCATGTCCTAGCCCCTGCCTGTCCCAGCTCCTGCCCAAGAGTCAGAGGCAACTGGTGAATTTTTCAGAATGGAGTTAGTGCCTTGGCGCCGTCTGCTTGTCTTTCTGGCAGATCCATGTGGAAGGTGACAGGAGGGAAAGGAGGAAAGAACTGAAAGCTGCTTGCTGGTTATCTCCTGGGTAAAATAACTAGGTCAGGGCTCCCTCTTCTCCCTTCAGTACTCAGGATGGAGAGTGCTAGAGGGGATGTTACAGACATCCAAGTGAGGTCTCCTGGAGTCCTCTGAGCCACAGGCACGGGGTGGGGTGGATGAGCAAAGCCTTCAGTTTAAATAGACCTCTCCTACACAGCAGTGCTTTGTAGACAAGGTGGCTCCCCTTTTTTTGTGGGGTGATGAGACCAGTTTCCCATCCCAGGGCAGGGTTACCACCAGCCATGCAGCAGAGCTTGGGTAGCTCAGCTGCCCTCTCCTAGGCCCAGTTATGAGCAGTGCATCAGGTCAGAGTGGTTTCCTTTTCCCTGAAGAGAGCACTTTCACTCAGGTTGCCTCTTGTCACTCAGTGTGCACCCGTGCTTGTCACCTGGAATGGTTGCCTGCACTCACTGCGGTTGTGTGATGCTTCCACAAAGCTTTCTGTTCCTTTTCCCTCACCCCCTGTGCCTTTCCCAGTGTCCCTCTCTGGAGGGGGCAGGTGCCTGTCTGAGGCTCCCAACAGATCCGCCGCTGCTCGCAGCAGCCCTGCTGGAGGTGACCTCTGCTGAGTCCCCTGGTGTTGTCTTGACTGTGGGCAGGCTGGTGCAGTCCTGGCAGGAGTGCCGGAGGGCCGGTGAATGTGTGTGCGATGTGGAGATCTGTGCTTCGGCCCTGGGATTTACCCTCCAGTCCTGCCTCATGTGCTTCTCCCCTCCCAGCAAGGCACATGGCTGTATTTTTTTTCCTCTTCCTTGCATTTTCTTCCATTTTCTCTATCTCTCCCTTTCTTTCCCCCTCTCTGTCTCTTTCTCTTTTTTTTTTTTTTTGTTTTTCTTCCAGAAAATCAAAGCGAGGAAAGGGGAAGGGTCAAAAGAGAAAGCGCAAGAAAGGCCGGTACAAACCACTCAGCTTGTACGTTTGTGTCCTCTGCTCGTAGACTCTCTTCCCTCCCTCTCCCCAAACCAATGCTTGCTGCTCGCTCAAATCTCACCCTCCCCTCCCAGTCACTGGTGGGCTGCAGATCCTGCAGGGGCAGCACTGGTGGTGGCACTGCTCTGGCACTAAGGCTATCTCAGGGAAGGTGGCTTTAGCTTGCTTGGCTCTCTAATCATCAGTGGTGACTGTTTTCCCAAGGCACAAGAGTGTGGGCAGGTGGGCGAGTGCCCTGCACCTCTTTTTCGTGCCTTCCAGTTGTAACTGTCATCTGCTTTCCCCCACTTGTCTTGTGTCCTCACTGCTGTGATGACTGGTGACAGACAGGCTGGCATCTGCCATGCATGTGTGTGTGTATGTGTGTGTGTGTGCGCCCGTGTGCGTGTGTGTCTGGTGGAATCACAGGTGGAGAGGAGAGGTGGGACGGTGGGAAGCCGGAGAGGGGGTGCTGGGGAACCAGGGGGGCTTGCTTTCTCTTTTTTTTTCTCTTTCTGCTGGATTTGGTGGCTTCTTTCTCCCTGTCTGTCTCACTGTCTCTTTCGCTGTGCCTCTCTCATGGTGGTTCACAAAATTCTGCATTGTAAATTCACAGCCCCTCCCTAGGAGACTCCTAGGGGGTAAGGTTGGGATGGGGCTCACAGACAGGAGGGCAGCTCTGGCTGCAGGAGTAAGCATGTGATGCTGGAGCCCAGCTGCTTTCCAGGAGAGGAGAGACCCTGTGTATTTAACTCATTTTTCCGCTGGCCTCTTTCTACTCGAATAGCCCACTTCAGAGAACTCCTTTCAATGATATGTCAATAGCTGGCTGGGACCTCTCACCTTCCCATCCTTGCTTTCCCCTTCTTCCTCCCTCTGGCCTGAGCCAATGGATCCAATGCAGCATTTGTGAATACTGTGCAGACGGCCTGTTTTCTTTCTCTTTACGCTAATGCAAGGGGGTGCTGTCCTGGGACCATCATGGTGCTGCTGGAAAATCCATCAGCCCGCGATGCTCCAGTGGGCAGCATGGGGGCTGTGGGAGGGGGCAAGGGGATTGCTTTGATGTTTAGGGTGTTGCATGTGTATTTTCTTTCTGCTGAAGCGCTGTAGCTTAGACATCTTTCCTTTTGCCTTTTTGCAGTCACTGTGAGCCTTGCTCAGAGAGGAGAAAGCACTTGTTTGTACAAGATCCCCAGACCTGTAAATGTTCCTGCAAATTCACAGACTCACGTTGCAAGTCGAGGCAGCTTGAGTTAAACGAGCGCACTTGCAGGTTTGTGTCCTGAAGGATGAAACACAAAGAGAAGGAGAAAGAGAAAGAGGGGGGGAGCTTG